TGAAGGAACATTTTTGTGGCCGGCTAGTAGGTTCTTCGATAAAAGGATGAGGTTTCTTTGTTCTTTAACTGCTTTTATTCGTTACGAACTTCACTACATGCCAGCTTACAACCCTCTCTCTTAATCTCTTTATGGCACCTTCTTTTTATAGTGACCAGAAAATCTAGCTGCTCGAAGGAAAACAACGCTTGGCATTGGACCTTCCGAGGTGTTTGCTGTCGCGAAATTATTTTCTTTCTACAATTTCGCCTTAAAGCTTAATTGGGCTGTCAATTGCATTAACTTAACACAAGGAGAGCAATTAACAGCGATTTCAAAGTATTCGCCTGCATATAAAATTTTTACAATGTCAACGGCCAGGTTACAATAAGAAAATCATGAAAAGTTGTCGATCTAGAGAATGTGTCAAGTGTCGTATTCCTGATCGACAGTCTCTGACTTAACTTTTCCATCAGTTTTTATGTATGTAGTTAAAACTACATATATGATAGGCAAATTCTGGGAATAAATTTAAATGTACATTAGTGGAAAAGACTCCTGAGCATTATCAGATTTCAAGGTCAGCTTACAATGAGGTTAAAAATATCAAACTATGCAATATTCTTATTGGGGTAGGGTTGCCACGGAAACATATAAAATCAGTTTCACACCGATTTCAAGAGAAGGTTGTCGTTTATTTGAAAACGTTCAAGTTGCTGTAAAACTAAACAAAGTAGTACAACTTTTAGAGAGATCTTTGAGTTACGCAACCTTTACATCTTGATAAAATATTCGTTTGACCTTACCTAATCTATGATGCAGTAAACACGAAAAAATATCCCTTTAATTTAAAACATTAATCAGATCTAAGTAACAAATCTAAGTTGAAATTTCCGTTGCTTGGATTTTAATATTTTAACAATAACTTCTTGTAACACTCAATAAACATCGATAGTGAAAACTCGTTTCAAAAAATAAACAATAACCAATTCATAATTCATGTTAATAAGGATAATTGAACTGAGTGGAGTGTAATTTGGTCTGAGTAATCGCACTTCTGAAAGCTAATTGGATTGTAAGGTTGACCAGTGATTTCAAATACTTTATTGAACTCATGTAACATCTCCATGACACTTTTGAGATTGACTGCAGAATCATTGAGATCCATTGTTATTATTCCAGTTGCTCCAAAGTGTTCTCTCTAATTCTGATTTGTGATTTCGCCAAAAGTTTATACGATATATATTTTTTTGGATATTAAATTGTGCTCTCGTTCACTCATCAGTAATGATTGTTGTTCGCTAAAAGTAATTCCAAAGCTTCATCATCATTTTTGTCTTAGTCTGAGTAGATCTTATTTATCGGCACCTGTTAGCTTGGATGTTAAATTGTGCTTTTGTTCTCTCATCATTAATGATTGTTGTTGGCTAAAAGTACAGTTATTTTGTAATTCCAAAGCTTCGTCATCATTTTTATCTTGGTCTAAGTGGATCTTATTTATCGGCACCTGTTAGCTTCATCAATGATATCCCTCTGAAGGGTCTCCATTTCTTCCTTGCAGACTTCATAAAGATCAAACTCTCTCTTTTCTCCATTCACAAGGTCATAAAGGTTGCTTCTCACCAATCCCTCATGGTAAGCAAGGGTATTTGCCCCATCAACTCGAGCTTGGTGGATTCTTTGCGACCCTTTCTTGACTGTAATCTTCCAGCTGTTTTCCCTTCTTTTAGACGGTCTAAAGATTATACGCACCTCATTTCCATCTCTTGAAAGGTACGCCCAAAGAGTATCACTCACAATCAATGCATTTTCTGAGTAATCGCCTGTTGCTTCTCGGTTTTCTGTTTCTAGTTTTTCTCCAGCGTACGTTTTGGCTTTGCCAAACACTATTTTCCATCTTTTCTGTGTAGCCTTTTTCGCAGGGACTCCAATAACAAGTTGTTTGGGCTGTGGGCTTGCATCATCGAAATTCTCCGTAAATGTGTAATCATCAAGTGGTCTTGAAGTGAAACCTAGGTATTCACTGCCCAAATTTACTGCTGGCCTATCATCGTGCTTCAGATCTAAAAGAAGTTGATGATTTCCAGTTGTCCCGAATACAATGCGTTTTGCTTCTGGAACATGAATTTTTACTGTGTACGATGCATCTGTTAAATCACCCACACGATGTTCGTACACCAGCTTCTTTTCTGACCTCAGATAGTAGACAAGATATTGTGCCCGCCAGTCTTTAACCCAGTCCATCAATTCATCATCAATGGCGATAAAGGAATTTTTTGGTAGTTGCAGAGAGAATTCCTTACTTCCACTAGAAGGACGATCCCCTCTAAAAGAACCAAACGAGATAACAAAGTCTCCACAAAGGCCAGGAATCGGATCAGCTTTTAAATTGGTATCCAGATGATAGTGAAACGGGACGCTTGGCACAGGTCGATCATCAATATACCATTCATGATTTCGACTTCCAATTCCTCTGTTAATCGAGCTATGCCCCAGTGTATAACTCAACGAACAGTCAAGGTTTTCATCATCTAAGCTTTTAATGTTGCATTTAACTTGTGGTTGGCCTTCGGGGTCAGCCAGATAAAGCCTCATCTCTTTAACATCGCCTGGTTTTGTTCGTTTGATAATAATTCTCCCAGTGAACGTATGCCTCAGACCATTATTGTCTTTCATGAAGATCACTATGGTTTGCGTTTCCTCATCGTAACCAATATCGTCAGGGGAAATCTTATAATATCCGTTACCATATTTTGTCTTCTTAACGAGGTAAATTTGCCCGAGTGTTTCTGATTCATCAATTATCGTATGAGTAAAGTCGTGCTCATTGGTCAGATAGATGACATAATTGTTTCTTCCGCCATCGTTTTTCACTACACAACTCTTGTCCTCTCCCATCGCAATTTCGTCATCCATTGGAGACCCTGTAAAATAAAAAACAAATCAGTATTTACGTGATGAGATCAGTCGATTTTCTGCTCACTGTGAAGTTATCGTAAAAAGAAAAGTTGAATTAGAGCAAACTGAACTTTTCATTTCAAGAGATTTGCTTATTGGTATATAGAGTATCAAGTAGTTTTGGTCTTTGCATTAAAATGTGATGGATGATAGATGTTTTCCGTCACAAGTATGTTATTTGATATTAAAATTTTACTTAAGCCCATGGGCCAGGGAAAAGTCGTTTTCGTACTGACAAGTTAATAAAAACCACTTAAAGACATCCTCCCTAGTAGTATCGTAAGCGAAACGAAGAGAGGAGGCCAGGAGAAGTATTCAATGGTTATTAATTGTGAAAGATAATTTCGCTCCATCTAAGGGAATCCAAGACTGGATTCTGGATTCCAACCGTTAGTGGGAGTTCGGACTCCTTGAGCTGTATTCCGGATTCCAGAAGGAAAATTTTACTTGATTCCGGATTCCACCGGCATTAATTTCCCGGATTCCGGAATCCGAGTTCCCTTACATGGGACGAATGATTACAGGAATTTCATTTGCCTGCGTGCAGACGTCTCCTATTTCCTTTGTTGCACGCGGAAAGGGGACGTCTGCGTAACGCCGTCGCTAATCGTGTTCCAACGTCCCGCTGGGTTCCCAAGATCTTGGGAACATGCTGCGATAGGCTGACACACAGTGCGCATTGTTTCCAGCCAAAACAAATCAAAACATGTGTCATTGTGTGCAGACCGTTCGAAATCTTGTGCGAGGCCGCGGAAAATTTAACGTGTGCGAGGAAATTATCTCTTTACAATTTACTGTGCATGACACATCACATCATATTTGTAAACAGTGTCTGAGAAAACAACAAGAGCGGCATGGACTTCGCACCAGGCAGGCATTTCGGAGAAAGCCAGCCAAAGAAACTAAAATCTTTATTTAGCCTTAAAAAACAGAGGTCAAAGAAAATTTAGACACTTTACAACTGCATCTGAAATCAAATCCTATCGGGAACACCCACAGAAGCAAAAACCACCAGAAATGATTACTCAGTATGCATGAAACAAACCTGCTTCATGACCTCTAAATGTAAGACTTAGTGCGGCAAAAACGAGATTTATTCAGTCAAAGTTTAGAATGCTACATGCACTGTGTAGAGCTAGTAATCTTCGCGCGAGAGAGAAAAAAAGAAATACCTCTGTTCAAGCAGACTCTCAAGGTCACGTTACGCATTATCACGAGCTTATGATGTTTTGTTTGGCCTGTCAACTCTTATTTCTAACCGGATATTATTTCACAATTTATGCGAAATAGAATACCCTACCAGCGGGATGCTGAAACACGATTAGCGACGGCGTTACGCAGACGTCCCTTTTCCGCGTGCAACAAAGGAAATAGGAGACGTCTGCATGCAGGCAAGAATTTCATATGGAGCGCGATAATGGCTTTTATCTGGCTGATCATTCCAAAGCAGGTAGATGACAGTAGTACTCCGATTTCACAATCTTCCGAGAAGTTGTCAACGACAAGGACGAATTCCTGTCTTTTCCATTCGAATACATTACAACAGGGATGTTAAAAACCTCCATATATTAGTCCTATCACTAAGACCTGGTTCAGACGCCGTACTTTTCATGTGC